AGATGAACACATTCAGAGTTATATTAAAAAATGTCCTGGCTCCTTCAAGCTTTATAATGGCAGTGAATGGGTGTTATTTTTCAGTAGTCCAAAAGAAGTCCAATAAAGTGCGTCCATCCATCATAAAAGGTGCCTCACACGGCTCCGTGGGGTGAATAAAGGCCTCCTGAAGCGAATCGATGCATTTTTGCAGGAAAAATATCCATATTTATAAGCCGTAATCTCTAGCTTCCGCTGACTGTCGTACACGCGTTCGTTCCGGCGGAGGACGTAGGATGTAGCATAAGGTCATTTTTTCCCAAATGCTGAAACTGCATCTTACATGCGTGTAAATATGATGTTCAAAGAATTAATTAATGGGTTATGCCAGCGATTCCTCTGTCGGTTAATAGTCACATGACATGCAAATAAACAATTCTTAAATTCTTCACCTTCAAATGTTCAACCCCTCAAGCTTTTATTTAGCCTGAATGCTGTTGATTACACAACTCTGTAAATGAAGTGAATAAAGAGAAGCGCTCAGACACTGAGAACATCACCAGCTGTTCGCATGAACACTTGCAATTCTTCTTGCAATTCTATTTTTTTGTTTTTATGAACTATTTTTCATTCTGTATATAAAAAAAAAGAAAAGAAATGTGAGATGAAACTTAGAATTCTGAGGGGAAAAATCACTCTATGGTGGTTACGGCCCTGAATGGACCCTGAAGTGAAATTGGCATCTTTTATTCACATGACATGTTGTTCCTAATCCCTAAAACGGATTTTCTTGTTGTGCAATGTCATCATATTCTTAACAATTCATAACTAAAATACAACACAAATCCACTCCTGTAACTTCAGAAGTACACCACCAGAGGTAGCTATGGAGATGTTATAGATCATGTTCAATATTTACTCACATTTTTGTTGTTGTTGGTTTTTACACATTATAAATACTTTCTATTTCGTAGTTTATTTATTGAATATGTTTAGTGGTTTGCTTTGAAAACCCACGAGTAATCAGTTTGAATTCATGTGAATCAATTCAGAAATTCATATATATATATATGGTGTTTGCAAACACAATCTGAGGACAGATATGTTTGCTGTGAGAGATTTTGGTTATAATGTTTCTGAAGCTGCATGTCATACTTGAAAGATCATCACATATGGCATTAATTACACAATGTATTATGCATCCTTATGCACTATTAAAGATTAAAGACTTCACCTTCCACTGTAAGAGTTTAATGAAACATTTCTTAGAACAAAAATTACTGTCATATTTACTCACCCTCATGCCATCCCAAACCCGTGTTATTTGAAAAAAAATGAACAAAACCTTACAGAATAACCAATCCATGTCCTATTATTTCAGACAGGTTGGTTTGTGTGCTGCTTATTAAATATTTTGCATTCTCATGAAGGCTGAAGATATAGGGACACATGTCAAGATATTTTCCAAAACAAAACAATCTTATCTGTCTTATATGTTGTATGGCCTAATTTATCATTTTCTTTGAAAAATATATTATATGTTTGAAGCTGTTTACATTTATGTGTTAATCCAAGGAACATCGCAAGCAATTTATTATTCAGCGACGATACTGCAAAGCTGCGTTCTGGGAGTTTGCTGGAGTACTCTTGAGCTTTAAAGAGAAATAAAATCACACTGGCACACACAAACTGCTAAGACTTCTGCCTCTTTTAGAAAGGAAAACTTGAAATCGCATCATATGACCCCTTTAAGGGTTTCTCACGTGGCTTGGCGATCTGGTTTTCTGTTGATTTAATTTGGCATTGAACTTTTAAAAAAAAAAATTTTTTTTTAAGTAAAAACACTTTTGCTATCTTCTGATGAAAGACAAAAAACTCTAAAATCTTTTCTTTCATATTTTAGGAAGAAAGTCGTCTGAAGCCATGGGTCCAGAAATGAATCTCATGTTGTTTGTTTTGGGTAAGTATATGTGCATCGTTCACTAAATATTAATCAGTTATTTAATTACTTGGAGTGAATTCCTTAGAGTTCTTCTACCACTGTCCATTAAATAAGATAATTGCTTAAATAAAATGAAATAAATTCAAACTAATTTCTACAGCTGGCATTTGAATAAGTGTATATGAATGTTTCTGCACTGTAAACAATTTCCACCCACTTAAAGTTTTTTTTTAATTCAGTTGCTCCCTTATGTTTCTAAGTATAATCAAATTGGCTGTACAAGTTATTTGAACTTAAATTATATTAAACTGACTTAAAAATGTCTGACTCTCGCATAACTTAAAAAATAAAGGTGGAAATGACAATTGTGGTGCCTTCGATAGCGCTGGAGAGTTTTGGGATGTTTCATGTACAAGTCAATATCCGTTCATTTGCTATGATGGTAAGGACACAGTAAATACATTCACTGGTCATCTGCACCATGCAGTATTTCTATCTCAAAAAAATATATAAAAAAATCAGCCCTAAATTTAAGATTTGAATTGCATATAAAATTTCAATTAATTTGCATTACACCATTTTAACATAAAATAATAAAATTAATGTGATGCATATTTGGTAAAACCATTCTTATTTTAGTATCATTGAGATACTGTTTTTTGAATTCGTTTTTATTTTAAGATATGTATATATATATATATCTATATATCTATCTATATATATATATATTATGTTTTTATTTCAGTTTTGGTTATTTTTAGTAGATTTAGAAATGTTGCCTTGCCTTGATTTATTTCTGGTTTTAGATTTAGTAAACGATAATAACCTTTAGTGAAACCGGTCAGATTTCTGTAATAGTGCTAATAAACTGAATGTGTTTTAAACGCCCAACAACCAGATTTACATATTTATCATCAATAAATCCAGTCAGTTTTAATCTCATGCATTTTAACTGAATATTGCTTGTTTCACCGTTAGCCATATTTTGACCATGTTCATACCTTTTAACTGAATAAATGTCATAGATTCTTTTTACAATTAACAGATTTAATGCTTATTTGAAAATACGATTATTTAAATAAAGTAAAATAGATTTCGTTTTTAAAGAGAAATCCTGCAGAAATCTGATGTTTTATGACTGAGGTTTATTAGTTTGTTTGTGTGTTAAAACTGTGTAATCCAAATGGATGGCAATTTTATATGCAATTCATATACATAAATCTTACCTATAGGCCTAAATATATTACATTTCACTCCTGTTTTTAGGACCATTTAGATATTTGTAATTAGAAATTATTTCCATAAAATTTTCCTTTTACAATTCTCATTTTTGTAACATGAAAATAAATAATACAGTATAGTATTATACAGTATAGTTTGACACATATAATTTGTTGTACTGTTTTTTTTTCTTCTTTTAAACATTTGAATGCATTATAATAATGAGATTTTTGATAGATTTTATCTGAGTAATTGATCCGAATAAATTAGTTGTTTTCCAAACGGGTTAATATTTGAGAATTCAAAAACAACTGCATTTTATTTATGTTTGATATAATTGTCTCCTAGCTATGTTTTTGTATTAGAAAGTCCAAGCCTTATTTAGTTTATGATTTAGTTATTTAGACAGAAAATTTTTATTTGTTTAAAGATGCTTTCGGATGGATGGATAACAGCAGCTCCATGATCAGACACTGGTCCATCGGTGAACCTGATGGCACTGGAGCTTGTGTTCTGCAAAGACTCTCAGATATAAACATATGGGCTGAAACAAGACTGCTGCTTTTACGTCAGATTCTGATCAAAGTCACCATGAAGCTGAAGCAGCAACAGGTCTTTGTTCCATAAAATTCAAAAACAACTGCATTTTATTTATGTTTGATATAATTGTCTCCTAGCTATGTTTTTGTATTAGAAAGTCCAAGCCTTATTTAGTTTATGATTTAGTTATTTAGACAGAAAATTTTTATTTGTTTAAAGATGCTTTCGGATGGATGGATAACAGCAGCTCCATGATCAGACACTGGTCCATCGGTGAACCTGATGGCACTGGAGCTTGTGTTCTGCAAAGACTCTCAGATATAAACATATGGGCTGAAACAAGACCGTTCATCTGCCAAGACGGTGAGCTGCTTTTACGTCAGATTCTGATCAAAGTAAGTCACCATGAAGCTGAAGCAGCAACAGGTCTTTGTTCCATAAAGAACAAATGTAGGGCAGGACTTGGCTCTGTGCATCAGTTGTTGATTGGATGTTAAGATGTGGGCGTGTCTCTCAAAAACACAGGGGCGGGGCTTAAATGAGGAGGAGTCTGTAATTTTCACCAGAATTTCCAGTCAACATTATGAGGTTTACACTTTGTTAAAAATGAAACATTTGCACGAATTAGTAGTTTACAATAAGATCTAAAACGTGGAATTAGAAAATAGATGGTACATTTATATTTTATGGTGAGTTTAATTTTAGTTTCCACAAATAGACTTCAAACTGATCTCTGATGATTTTTTTAAATATTGTGTGTTTTGTTGTGATATCTTAGGAATAGGAATAGTTCACCCACAATTGTAAATATCCTCACCCTCAGTTTATCAGAGATCAGGATGAGTTTGTTTCTTCATCAGGTTTGTAGAAATGTAGCATTGCATCAGTGTCTCAGCAATGGATGCTCTGCAGTGAATGGGTGCCGTCAGAATGAGAGTCCAAACAGCTGATAAAAACATCACAATAATCCACAGCACTCCAGTCCATCAGTTAACATCTGGAGAAGACAAAAGCTGAAACACATCCAGCATTAAGATGCTTTTAACTAAAATACCATAGAGTCCATAATCTACAATAACGCTTCCTCCAGAAAATGAGTTTTATCTCCACTTCAGTAACACGTACAGACACCAAATTTAGCAGTTTTATTCCTCTCAATATTCTGAAGATTTTTACTGAAGCGTTTGTTCATATGTCAATTGCCTGATTTTATATATAGCATTTTATTCCTAAAAACATGGTGAAATTGCATTTCTTTTCGTCTGTTGACAGTATTTTCTGACTCATGGAGTGATAAAAAGAGACATCCAATATCCCCTCTATAAAAACCTTTTAATCTAACATGTCAACAAAATCAAACAAGAATTTTGAACCTGACTTTATCCAGTTTATTTGCACATTTAAACATAACATTGCAGAAAACTTGCTGTTTAATAGGGACAGAGCACTTTAATGAACATCTGTATAAAAATACAAAATGTAAACATGCCAGAGTAAAGCAACATCCATCGTCCCTGAAAGAAAAACATGAAAACAAGAAAAATTTACTCTTTAAGACATATTCTATGCTTGATTTGGTCTCTAACACTCATCGTCTCTTCATTATCCTTACGTTAAGAAAGGAGCATGTGAAGATAAATAGTATCAAGAGTTAACATTTCAGATTAAAAACTCCTAAAAGCACATTCTAAAGCACAGTTGTAGTTTAAAAATGTTACAAAGTTGTATTCATCAGTCACACTTGTTGAATATAACTTATGTAAATTATAAATTATGTTTAAAATTTAAAGCACATTAGAAGACAGATGGGAAATTCCAAATAGCTCTGGAATCGTACAGACTTATTTTGTTAGGAATATTCTTTTGTATTGCTCAGTACATCCGATCACAATTCAAAACCAGACACTGCCTGTCGTAGTCTTCCTCTGCTCGTCTGTGTTTATTCCTGTTGCTCCACGATGAGGTCTGCGAGTCGGCTGACGTCTCTGATCCTCGGGTGACACTGCAGGATCATGATAATCACGCTCTCCTGGGCAGGAAAGATCTGCACTAAACTCTGCTGCAGCTTCAGCGTCTCCTCCACCGTCCTCTCCCTGACCTCCTGACAGCCCTCACCCTCATCCCCCTGACCTCTGCCTGACCCCTGACCTCTGCTGGGACCTCCCGGTGTCCAGTCTCGGTAGCGCAGCACTTCGGTGTGAGCGTGCGCCGCCGCAGGCAAGTGAGGAAAGGATGCAGATGCACCTGCGTATGAGTGACTGCCTGGAACAGGTAAACTACTGCGAAAGTACAGCCACAAACACAACACAACACATGTTATTTTACAATGTTTTTTTTGTCAAATTTTTGAGAACATATGTGACCCTGGAGCACAAAAGCAGTGTTAAGTCGCTGGGGTATATTTGTAGCAATAGCCAACAATACATTGTATGGGCCAAAATTATAGATTTTTCTTTTATGCCAAAAATCATTAGGATATTAAGTAAAGATCATGTTCCATGAAGATTTTTAGTAAATTTCCTACTGTAAATATATCAAAACTTAATTTTTGATTAGTAATATGCATTGCTAAGAACTTCATTTGAACAACTTTAAAGATGATTTTCTCAATATTTAGATTTTTTTGCACCCTCAGATTCCAGATTTTCAAATATTGTCCTATCCTAACAAACCATACATCAATGGAAATATTATTTATTCAGCTTTCAGATGACGATAAATCTCAATTCAGAAAAATGTACACTTATGACTGTTTTCATGCTCCAGGGTCACATATAGTGACATATTTTATGACATTAATCATTTAACAGTGCTTTAATATTTAAAAAATGGTGTTCTACAGATAAATGGCATCATTTGGTGGATCTCCTAAACAACAAAACCCAACAATCCCATTACATCAGCGTGTGTTAATGGACTGTTTGCATTTTCAGCAAAACACATAATACTGATGAAAATACAAAATACTTGTGGCCATTAGTTTGCACTCCCTGCTCAAATATAATTGCATAATAATTATTCATATTTAAATATATTAAAGCAATAAGCCCCAAGAAGCTGTGGTTTACAGTGAATTTATAACAGCTAAGGGGCGTTGTTAGGTACGACGTGAAGCGGAGCTGTTATAAATTCACTGTAAACCACGGCTTCACGGGGGTTATTGCTTTTATAAAACGGTTATTCCATATACGTAGTACGGTTTCACAAAATAAAACGGAGCAAATAAAGTGTAATGATATTAATAAACACAGTGTTCTTCCACCAAACAATGTAGCTCCTCAGAAACAGTTGTGGTTGCTACAAAGTGGTTGCCGAGCAACACACAGAAGTAAACAAAGGTGTGTGTTACTTTGTAGCGTCATTTACAACAGCTTCGAACGCGGCTCAGCCAATCAGAATCAAGCACCGGAATTATCGGTTTTATAATAATAGTGCATTATGTTTTTGTGTCAAAAGTAGAAATTAATTATGTACAGTACCGTTCAAAAGTTAAGGGTCTGTAAGATTTATTTTGAGAGATTATTAGTTTTATTCATCAAGGATGCATTAAATGCTGCTCCTTTGAACTTTCTATTCATCTGTGAATCCTGAAAAATAAAATGTATCACAGTTTCCACAAAAATATTGTGAAGCACAACTGTTTTCAACATTGATAATAATCAGAAATGTTTCTCGAGCAGCAGATCAGCATATTACACTGATTTCTGAAGATCATGTGACACTGAAGACTGGAGGAATGATGCTGAAAATACAGCTGCACATCACAGAAATAAATCAAATCTTCAATACATTCACATAGAAAATAGCTATTTTAATTTGGAATAATATTTCACTGTTTTTACTGTATTTTTGAACTAACAAATGCAGCCTTGGTGAGCAGAAGATACTTTATTACAACCTCAAACTTTTGAACAGCTGTGCACAATTTTCAGACACTTGAGTGAAAAATAACTGGTATCAAAAAAAATCCCAATTCACTGATCTCTAGAAGCCAGCGTGATGTGGTGTGGATGTTAGCACCTGTTGTGTTTATGTAGGAAGTCTCTCAGATGAGGACCACCGCGGCCCAAAGGATCGTCAGGTAACATGAAGAGATGGTCGGCAAACACGTACTGAAGCAAACTGAAACAACACTTTCATCACTAAATGACAGTGGATACAAAACCCTATTCACACAGACAAAACCTAGTGAGCTACCGTCAAAGGGACCATTTTAAGCTTCAAATATGAAGACCTCGCTTTACACATAAAACAATCATAACACATGTGTCCCTGCAGCACAAAAGCAGTGTTAAGTCGCTGGGGGATATTTGTAGCAATAGCCAACAATACATTGTATGGGTCACAATTATACATTTCTCTTTTATGCCAAAAATCATTAGGATATTAAGTAAAGATCATGTTCCACGAAGATATTTAGTAAATTTCTTACCGTAAATATATCAAAACTAAATTTGATTACTTAGAACTTCATTTGGACAACTTAAAAAAAAAATTTGCACCCTCAGATTCCAGATTTTCAAATAGTTGCATCTCAGCCAAATATTGTCCTATTCTAACAAACCATACATCAATGGAAAGCTTATTTATTCAGATTTAAGATGATGTATAAATCTCAATTTCCCAAAATTGATCTTTATGACTGGTTTTGTGGTCCAGGGTCACATATTAGGTAAATAAAATCTGAGATGGGGACAAAGCGAGTGTGAGTGCGCATCAGTTTCACTTTCGTTTTTACTCGCTCCGTGTCCAATAAGACACATGGTTTCTTCTGGCTGTTGGCATGTGTATTTTGCAATCTTTGATCTGAAAGTTTGTCATAGTCTTCAGCCTTTTTGTCAATCGGTACAGCACTAGTCGTGAAAACCCTTTTTGTTATGGCTTTTTTATAAGTGCTTGATTCTGCATGTAACTTAACTTGTCCTTTAGTTGTTGAACTTTCCTTTATGTCTCCAAACACTGGATTTCAGTAATTCAATTCAAATTGTGAAACTCGTATATTAAATAAATTCAATGCACACAGACTGAAGTAGTTTAAGTCTTTGGTTCTTCTAATTGTGATGATTTTGGCTCACATTTAACTTCTTTACTAATGTGAGTGCGCATCAGTTTCACTTTCGTTTTTACTCGCTCCGTGTCCAATAAAGCAATCCATGTACTCCGTTTTTCTTGTTCAATATACTGCTTTAATCTTGACTAAAAGTTTTTGATTAAAAATAAAATTAAAGAAACAAAATATAATCTTACATCTTAAATATCACGGATGCGGTAAAGAAAACTGTGTGACTCCGCTGTATTCCAAAGAACGCACTGCCGCCTGACTTAACAGACGCGATTCTTAAAGAGCCAGTACACAATTTCAACATAGTACACATTTTCAATGTAAAATACAGAATATTTGTCTTAATTGTACACGTGAATAAAGTAAGTTTACAAGTGCGAACAATCCAAACCAAACTATTCAAAGCTGAAATGCACCACATAATATAACAATGGTTACTGAATCTGAACAAAAATAGGCTCCTACAGCGAGAGCAAATGACTGTAAATATACTTTATGCAATACTGAAATTTACTAATAATATAATTCAGAAATATTGCAATATTTTAATCGATGCCCACCTTTTCTTTATGATGTCTCTCCACACAGGCGACTCATCCACCAGATCTCTCAGGTTGTCATTAGTCACAATCACTCCTTTCGTCTTCTGCGCCAGATCCAGCATGAATCTAACAAACAATCACTCATTAACTAATGAATCAGCACTGATTTCTTTCCTACACATTTCCTATTTTAGTTTACGCCTCAGCTGCAAGTGATTTGCTGCACACTATTGCACTCAACAAATATTCAAACCTAAATTTAAGATTTATGCATTTGAATTGCATGTAAAATATCCATCTATTTGGATCACACAGTTTAACATAAATGATTGTGTTGATTTGAGATGAAATGGTTAATTACCGGTCATCATATGAGTTGATTCTCTTGCCCTCGACCTCTCTGGATGGAGTGTATTTTAGAAAGCCCTTCTCATGGAGTTCATTCATGTATTGCTTTTCTACAGAAGACACAAGAGCCACATGATGACACACTCACTGTTGTCACAATAAACTGAGATGTCACAGCATAAAGTGAGCTTCACCTTTAACCTTTGAGTTGTTCTTCTGTCTCCACTGAGGGACGAACACAGTGATTTCACGATGACCTCTCGCCCAAAACTGCTGTACGGCCAGAGCGATGCCTCGACAGGAGAAAAACACCCCCAAACCGTGACTGCGGAGGATATGCATCAGATTCACAATTCTGCTGCTCTTTACACTTTACCCTGGGTGTGTTTCATTTCACTCCCTAGCTCATGTCAGATAATGTCAAAAGCGATGCAGAACTAGTGCACTTAAACATTCACTCCCTATAAATTCACTAAATGCACTGCACAGAACATATTACCTGACAAGACACGACACGACATTTCCTCTGTATTTCTGTCTCGTCTTCCAGCACAAATATCTAAACATGCTTAAATCAAGATACAATTACTGGAGATGCAAAACGACAAAAGATATGAAGAAGTCTTGTTTCAAAATTAACTGAGTTTATGCTTAAAACAAGAACTAGAGAGAGAGAAATAATTCAAAGCAAAAACATGTATTTTCCTGATCCTATTGGCACATAGTTTTTTTTCACGTACTTTTGACCAATTTTTCATAAAAAAAACTCCATAACATGTCTTCTTTCAGAATAGTTAAAAGAAAATATCCAAATTACACTTTTAAGTGTTATATTATTAGTGCTATATCCATCAGTAAATTTCATAACTTTAAAGGAGTTTTCTCAAAACAAGTTTGCTTCTCCACTTCAGCAGAACTGAAATACACCAAAACATACAGTTTTATTCCTCTCTATATTCTGAAGGTTTTTACTGAGGGGTTTGTTGATATATCGTTTGCCTGGTTTTATTATTGCATTTTATCTATTTGCGTTTGTAGATCTCAATCACAGTACATATCTTTAAAGGCTGTTTGAGTTTTATCTCCACTTCAGCAGCACTTACAGACACCAAACTTACAGTTTTATTCCTCTCTATATTCTGAAGGTTTTTATTGAGGGGTTTGTTGATATATCGTTTGCCTGGTTTTATTATTGCATTTTGTCTATTTGCGTTTGTAGATCTCAATCACAGTACATATCTTTAAAGGCTGTTTGAGTTTTATCTCCACTTCAGCAGCACTTACAGACATCAAAACTTACAGTTTTATTTCTCTCTATATTTTGAAGGGTTTCACTGAGGGGTTTGTTCAGATTTCATTCACATGATTTTATTATTGCACTTTGTCTATTTGCATATGTACAATACAATCTTCAAAGGCCGTTTTCTCAAAATGAGTTTTATCTCCACTTCAGCAGCACTCACAGACATCAAAACTTACAGTTTTATTCCTCTCTATATTCTGAAGGTTTTTACTGAGGGGTTTGTTGATATATCGTTTGCCTGGTTTTATTATTGCATTTTGTCTATTTGCGTTTGTAGATCTCAATCACAGTACATATCTTTAAAGGCTGTTTGAGTTTTATCTCCAATTCAGCAGCACTTACAGACATCAAAACTTACAGTTTTATTTCTCTCTATATTTTGAAGGGTTTCACTGAGGGGTTTGTTCAGATTTCATTCACATGATTTTATTATTGCACTTTGTCTATTTGCATATGTACAATACAATCTTCAAAGGCCGTTTTCTCAAAATGAGTTTTATCTCCACTTCAGCAGCACTTACAGACACCAAACTTAGCAGTTTTATTCTTCTCTATATTCTGAAGATTTTTACTGAGGGGTTTGTTCATACTGTATGTCATTTACCTGATTGTATACATTTTATTCCTAAAAAATTGTAAAAGTTTTTTTTCTCAAAATGAGTTTTATCTCCACTTCAGCAGCACTTACAGACACCAAACTTACAGTTTTATTCTTCTCTATATTCTGAAGATTTTTACTGAGGGGTTTGTTCATACTGTATGTCATTTACCTGATTGTATACATTTTATTCCTAAAAAATTGTAAAAGTTTTTTATTTTTGGCTGTTGACAGTATTTTCTGATTTTTGGAGTGATAAAAAGAGAAATCCAAAATCCCCTCTTTAAAAACCTTTAACTCTAATATGTCAACAAAACCAAACAAGAATTTTTGACTTGGCTGACATTCCGTTTTTTAAACACTTAATTCAAGAAAACTTTTAATACACAACAATTGTCTCAATGTACTGTGATTAATCAGCTGGTCAAAGTACGGTGATATCTATCTATTAGCAGAGTGCGAATTATGGGGGGGTCTGACCCCCCTAAAGAAGGCTTGATGTAGGGGGGTCAAATAGAAAGACGGCTATGGAGATTTACTTGTAAATATTAATATGCATTTCTATAGCCCTAACTGATTTTAAAATATAATTTTGGCAGCTCCTGAAAAGGGACGTTTTGACAGTACCTGAGCGGTTGAAGAATACGCTACAGCGCTCAATCAAAGACGTGCATCTATTGCTTGGACGGAGCAAGAACAGCTAAAATGCACGTGTAGATTCAATCGAGTGATAAAGTTTACCCTCTTCAACTTAATGCTGCTGAACTGAATTTATGGAGCAAACTATTTGCTAAAATTACCATAACATTAACAGCACCGCTGAAATACAAGAGCGCGGTTCTGTCCGTCAGAGGCGCGTGAAAGCTGCATGTGTTACTATAACAAACACTGCATATTTTCTTTCAGAATCATTATTGGCTGGTAGAAAGACAAAAATAGGTTACATAAACGTTTTTACCTAAAAATGAAGATAAGGTAAAGGTGTGAATAATTACATTTTAGACACATTGTCAGTAATTTCACTAATGAAAATAAAGCCCTAGGAGAACTGTTGTGCGTCTCAGATCAACACACAGCGCTGTTTCATTAATGAATCCAAGTTTTTAAATGAATCGAGAGAATCAATGATTCAGTGAACCATTCATAAAGGCAGTCACTTGCTTAGTTTCTGAATGAATCAGCCATTTGAACGAATCGATTGAATGAATGTTTGAATGACTCACTTAAGACAGGGCTTTGCCGCCACCTACTGGCTCATTTAGTTTTATATTCAGAGTATCGTTTCTTTTTCAAATAATTTCATAGTTCACTACTTATTCGTATTTTTTATGTTGAATTAAAATATTTCTTTCTAAAGCTACTTATATTTCAGCTACCTTTTTGTAATGTCTATTTAGTGTTTTCTTTCTAAATTAACACAATGATAAGTATTATCTTTAATAATAACTTTATCTTTAATCGGCACATGATGTACATGTTAATTGATTAATCTCATTAATTTGAGATTAATTTGATTAATTAATCGGCACATTATGTAATTAAATTTTTTTTTAAATAATCACTTGACAGCCCTATTTAAAACATAAAAAACATGTGCCCCCCAAGTGCCCGATGGTCACTGTGTAATTCACACACTGTCTATTAGTAAACCTTAACATGACATCTTATGCCTTAAGATGTCATGCATCTTAGAAAATGCAAGAAAATGTTTTTTGATTTAAGAATGTTGCACTGTAGTTTGTAATGGCTACAGACACAATACTTAAAAAAAAAAAAAGATGCCGAATGCCAAAAGATATCAGTCACTACGTCTGAAATTCCAATCAATACTTGCTATTTTTTTTAAGTACAACAACACACTATAGAGATGGACTGTTGACAGAGAAGAATGCATATGATGCGTTTTGCGAGAATCAAGGAGTCAACCGAAACACACCCTCTCTGTTCTCATTCTGACCACTACAAGACACATCATATTGTGTTTTTTACCTCATTGCAACATTGCTCCCATCGATGATGATCTGACGCAGCATGGGGTCACCAGGCTCGTCCGACAGCTGCAGTGTGAAAGGCGTCTTGAGGCTCTCGAGGAACCGCTGAGATCCTGTGACCACAGATGCTGCACCTGATCTGTCATTTTGAGGTTTGTGTGCAATGGACTTGTTGGAGATATTTGGGGAACTCAAATCCAGGTTCTGATGGATAGTCCGTGGAGGTGATTGGACGTTTGAATCCATTGGTTGTACTTCGGATTCCAAGGTTTCAAAGGAATATGTCGTCTGCGGTGGGCCTCTCACCGATGAAGGCCTGCCATTAATGTTCACTGGTTTGGATGTGTGGATCTCTGCTCCAGCCTTTCCACGCCCAGTGTCGAGATCTGCATCTGAATTTGGACCGATCTTCCAATCAGCTTTTTTACTGCCACCTCTCGTCCTGTTCACCTCTCCTTGTTTCTGCAGCTGCATGAGCAGCTCGTGTGGCTTGAGCTCGGGTAGATTGCTGCACACTTCCATTACTGTCTCCTCGGTGTAGCCACAAGTGGCCGCGGCCTTCTTTAACACGTCCAAGACAAAGTCTTCCTCTTTAGCGTTGGGTTCTCCTTTACTGGCTTCGAGTATCTGAAGTGCCTCATGCATTTCTCCACCAATTCCCATCACATTCTGGGACTTGCTGTGGCGGTTTCGCTGGCCAGTTTTGTCCTGCTCCTGCTGGATCAAATCCAGAAGCTGCGAGGCTTCTTTGGGGCCGGTTCTGGTTAGAACAGCTTGCACCACATCCTCGGCAAATCCCATTGTGGTGAAGAACATGAGAAGGTGGTCGAAATCCTCTCTGCTCCTCGCGGACAACAGAACAGCGTCCTGCGATGGCGTCTCAGATTTAGTTTCTTGTGGCGAACCTCGTTCTGGTGACTCAAAGTGTGTTGGGTAAAGGGTCAAACCTTGGGAAAAAGGATTGTAGGATTTGCTGTCGAAATCATCTGTGCCGTTAATTCTGTGATGGGCAGATTGTGGAAAAAGACCTGGCTGCTGGGAAGGCGAGTTCTCTGCATTATAATTCGATCTCAGATGTCCTTCAGAGCCTCCAAAATCAATTTCATCAACAGTTCTCTGCATCGCCCATGATCCATTGCCTTCGAATGGGATCAGACCTTCCCGCTCCCGCTTTGCATACGAGTCCAATCCGGACTGCTTCACCAAATTCAGCAGAACCTCTTTCACCAGCACAGGTAACACTAGCAGGTCTAGGGTGTGACGGTCCTCCAGACTCTCCACGATGGCTTTGAAGGCCCGACGCGACTCCAAGGATTCGAGTCCAGCCTCAGTACGCCGTCCCTGGCTGCTCTTGTACTTCTCCACCAAGTCTGTAATAAAGGAATAGGCTTTCACTACAGGTTCCGCCAGCCCGGTTATGAGGACGATGCCTTGGGATCCCACCTGTAGGACAGATTTAGTCAAGTAATGTTCATTAACATAGGCTGGATCATAATATGTATGCTGAAACTTACTCTCGGTAAGCAACCTTACAATTTAGTGTCAGACTTGAAAAATTGGATTTAAAAGTGCAGCAAAATGTTGAGTTTAAAGAAATAAATACTGAATGAATATGTGCATGAAGTCAACAAAGAATCAAAGTGTACTCACTCCTGGGGCCTCAAAAAATAATAGAAAAGTGCATACATTTCCTAATACACCTTTTTTTTATTACTTGTTTTAAATATCTACAAAATGTGGACCATGCATGCACACTCTTTTATTATTAGTGTCCAAGTAATATTCAGAACCGAATACAGAAAGCACAAGTTATGCATTTTTATTTTGTTTATCAGGCAACCTTTATCTTACATTTTATGTATTTTATCAAGAAACATTTCTCTTACTTTTTTTTTTAGTTTTCAATGTAACATTCATTTTGCATTTTATTTAGTTTGTTTTGATTTTCATTTTACATTTGTCTTGAAGTTTACACAATTTTATTTTGTTTCTCCTGTTACATTTATCTTAAATTTTATGCACTTTTTCATGCTAACTGTTATCTTGCATTTTATGCATTTTCTTTCAAGTAACATGTCTTTTTTATGGCATTTTTATGTAATGTTCATCTTCGATCTTATGCATTTTTATTTTTTGTTACATCAATCATGCATTTTATGCATTTTGATTTTCTTAGGTAAGCTTTATCTTGTTTTATGGATGTTTAGATATGTTTCAGGACAGCAAGACAGAAAATTATTTTTAGCAGCGAAATATCTTTCTTTTTGGGCACAGAGGCCACTTTAGTGTGTCTGTCTCACCTTCTGTTTTCCTAGTTTCGAGTAACAAAGGTGGTAGAATTACTTCTGGATGGAAATATGCATATGGAAATTATGTCATGCATAGTAAAAAAGGCGTTGCTGCAGGGAGGCGTGGTGGAAAATCAAGCTCGTTCATGCACACACCATCTTCAGATATTTGAGCAATTTTGATCGGAACGGAAATGTTTCATAAACAAAGTTTATGAAAAATCAGGTTTGGCTCGAATGTTTTTGTGCTGTGCAAAGAAAAGTAACATATTTACACATAAAAACCTTCAGCTATATACTCTTAATAGGGGTTACAATACAGTAGCATTGAAACTATACCAGAAAATACAGCAGTAGCACAAATGATCTTTAGAAAACACTTTTTACTCACCACTATATGAGCGGAGGTATTTTTAATCAGGCAATCCATAAACAGCCCTTTAGCACCACAGAAGACACAGTGCAGCACTTCAGGAAACTGGATCTCTTGCTGAGCTTCCTGATTGACCACACCTTTCACTAAAAGCTACAAGATGCATAACATATAAGTTGAGTAAACCCTCAGCAATTCTAATAGGAGACATTTCTATTGTAATTATGGCCTTTGAATCCTTAAACCAATACATGCATCTGTGATGGGAAGACATGAACTAAAAGTCATGTCTGTTTTCATTGCAGGTGCAGTTTTACAGCCATGCAACGTGATGAAAATTAGATGTTGTTTATGATGCTTAGACTTGTTTTCCCACATCATGCAGGACTTTATAAGAAAATGTTGTTGTTGTTCACTTTAGGTACACAGAGTCCATCTGACTAAGTCTAAAGTGTGTGAAGCACCTTCGCTGCCTGCACTTCTTTTCCAGTCCCCAGCATCTGCAGCCAAATCTGTCCGCTCTGCGCAGACAGAGCGTCCTCTCCTCCGATTCTCAGCTTCACCCCAAAGATTCGCTCGACAGTGGGCTGCAGTGTCACCAGCGCCCCCCTCAACACACCTGCACAGGTGAACTCATCCTCAACCTCCTGCTGGGATCCACAGCCGTCCATAGTGAGACCTGAGAGAGCCATGATGCAACTCACTGAAAGAGACGTGAGAAGGAACACATGAGTCGATGCTCATGATTCAGCATTACTGAACAGTAAGACCAACCTTGGACCAAGATGGAATATGATCAGTTCAGTTAAAGTTCAGTTAGTTTATTTTCTACCGAAGGCCTCAAACAAAACTCTGAGTGCCTTTCAGAAGGTTTAATGCCGCTGGCAAATTCAGATTTGGGTTACTTGTATGATCACTATATGTACTGGCCAATCAAGTATATATTATTATTCTTTTTCAGTTATTCAAATATGACCGATTAAAGATTAACTGGTTCCATAATGTTTTTTTTTTTTCTCAAAAAGATGTTTGAGGAATGAGTGTAACAAAGAAAAGGTGTTTAAAAACCTTGAAACCCTGTGTATAATCATGTTTATAAACAGGAACAAACGTTCTTCCTGTAACGACTATATGTTTATTGATTTTCCACAAATTACAAACCACAAATAGACAAAACCATCAACAGCATGCATTAATTTGGAGCTTAAGAAGAGATAGAACAAGAACAAGCTAATTGAAATCCAAAAATATATAAAGTCCAATTTCAGCATATTAGCAGAAGTTTTCATCAATGAAATCCAAAAAGTATACTAATATTGGCGATCTCGGGGTCCAAATAATTTCTTCAAGTAACGTTTCATTCAAAGTTATCTGCACTCTAAAAAAATGCTGGGTTAAATTCAACCCAGTGCTGGGTAAAATAGGGACAAACCCAGCAATTGGGTTGTTTTGACCCAGCGGTTGGGTTAAATGTTTAACACAACCTTCTGGGTAGTAACTCAACCGCTGGGTCAAAACAACCCAATTGCTGGGTTTGTCCCTATTTTACCCAGCACTGGGTTGAATTTAACCCAGCATTTTTTAAGAGTGTGGTCTTTAATGACGTTATTTTTTCATTCCTACTTAAACGTTTCAGATGGTTTAGAGAACATTAAAAGTAATGTATCCATAATGTAAAAGAACATCCCAGATAGCACACATACGTCTGCGAGACGTCTGTTAAAGATCGCTTCATCTGGAAAGCATCTGCTGCGTACAAACATCTGATAGACGTCTCTAAGACATCAGAAACATCTTAAAGACATCTTCTAAACGTCTTTTTGACATCTGATAGGAAACGCATACTATAGACGTATTACAGATGAACAAACACTCTAAAAAAATATATGTAAATGCATCTCCGTGATGTACGAGTGCTATCAGGGATTCCGGTAGTTTTGGCTAACCTTCAAACAACCAAAAAATAAAATAACAAAAAGATAATACTTCAAGTCACTGGTTCTGAGAGAACATTCAGAAATACCATTTTAGAACTTAAAGGGAACGTTAGCAAGACGTTCTTAGAACATATTTATTCAAGTACTATTCATACGGGTTTCGCAATTAAAATCGTAGCACAGTCATTCTTGAGACGTGGGACAAAACAGGTCCAGCAAGGGTAACTGCTATTAGGTTTATAAATAATTTCAATTGTAAATGTCATGTGGGATTAATAATAGAATGTATTTAACACCATTATCATCCCAAATCTGTGTTTCTTAATATCCTCTCACTGCATCTAAAACAGTGTGTCCACAGAGAAGGGTTCAAGCATTCATATGCAATAAAACGGATAAAAATGTTTTTTTAACGATGAAAAAGAGCTTGTTTTATCAAAAGCAACACTTAATAACATCTCCTATCAAAGCAAGGTTGTTGTTTTAATGACACATGCATGTTTCATAAGATTTTAAAGTTGCGTCCCCACTTTTTGTCAACGCCGTCAGACATTCAATAAAATGTAATAAACTCAGGGAATATCAGGGGCAGCTGTCACTCTAAACGACCCCCTCGCCACAGTTCAGCTCTGCAGAGTACATCAGTGTCACACAGGCTCTGCTCAGTTTTAGTTTTAGAATATTTTAAATCCTAATGTTAATATTTCCTGTGTCACAGTCGTGATATGTCAACACCATCTTCCAATCTCTGAGGAAATTATTTGAAATATTTGGATAATTGTATTCTCCTGAAGCAGGTGCCATCGGCATCTAGCATCAATAGAAAAAAATAAAATGGCTGTCACATGAACTCCATTGGTTTTGTGAAAGAAATGCCAAATTTGTCAACACTGTCAGACGTCACCACCATAAGATCTTGTGTTCCAGTCATATATCACAATACTTCAATCTGACTCGTGAATAAAAGCTTTATAAACAATAACATACTCACTGTTTGTTTTAATACAGTAATTGACTGATTCAATGTATTTGATAGTTCAGATGACTACAAATGACACCTCCGTCAGTTGAATATTTTGATAATATTTCATTATGATATTTTATATTTGTTGTGGAATTAGTGAAAGTGTAATCTGTCTGCTAACACCAGAATGTGTTTTGAAATGTTAAAAACATCTCGAATGCTGTTAAAGATAAAGCTGAAATTATATTACACAGTCCAAGCTATAAAAAAAAGCACATTTAGTTAAAAAAGAGAAAAGTTGGGAGGTAGTATCAAAGCAAAGCTTTGTAAGTTTCATTTGTCTGAGTACAAGGTTTTATTTTTTCAATTTTGCACCGTTTTGTCCCACTTCTCAAGAATGACTGCCAAACGATTAAATATCATAAAGTGACGATTAAATATGACAAACGATTAAATAGTACTAAAGTGACTAAAACGAGATTCGTTTCGACTACTAGAGGAACGAAACCGACTCCAAGAAAAACTCAACCATCTTGTTCATCTACAAAAACACAAGTACAAGTACAAAACAGAAATATGCACAAACCGGCGTCCTTACCATAATCGTGTGGACTTTAAACCGTGCTCTTTCAGCTCGCGATAAACAACCCGCAGCGCGAGTCGGGACGCTCTTCTGCGGCGCTCCGGATTCACTCTGCGTTCAGTCCGCTCGGTTATAAAAGGCTTCTCTTGGTTTAGAATCCGCCCGTAGTTTCGCAAGACTCGTTGGTCCACATTGTGTTGCGCTCATCATGAGTGTTGATAAAATGAAAGCGAAGGGAAACTTTGCGCCGTAACGAACAGAAAGCAGGCGCATGCACAATCTGCTGGAGCGCTTTAACGCGTGCTCACAGTCATCTGCGGGCGAGAAACGCAGACACACGCGGGACATCTGATCAGACGCGACTTCAAAACACCAGATATGTCTTCATATATATGAAAGTGCGTGGCAAATCCACGGACGCAGACTGCATTATGGCTTTATGCAGATGCAGTCGTGCGGGAATTTCCACTGACGCAAAAAGCCACATCCGTTTAAAGTACACAGCAAACAGGTATAACCTACAAATAAAACTCCCCAGCCCATTCTCATTATCCACGCATATCTCACATGCTTTCTTTCTTACGCGCTTCACTTATGCATTAGCCATCAGAATGTTTCAGAACTCGTTTTTAAACTTAACTTAATTACTACTAATAACTGAATTTATAATTGCACTGAAGAAGATGCAGACACACTACAGCATTTACGATGAATACACAACATATCAGTGAAACACTGTAGCTTTTCCTTTTTTAATGTAACACCGAAGTTAAAAAGTGGTGTGACGAAGCTTGAAACCCTATAAAAATGTACATAAACTCAGCATAGCTGACGTTCTCTCAAACTGTAACATAATGGAACGTTCGTTCAGAGTGATCTGTTTATGGAACGTTATCTGAAACATTCTAGATTCGCGTTTGTCTGATGTGTTGTTTCTTCGTTTCAGACGGTTCAAAAGTAGCATTCCTATCAAACAGAATATCCCTTTAATGCTTTCTCTAACATAATCAAGAAAAAGTGTTTTTTTTAACACTTAACGGAAACGTTAGCACAGTAAACAGTATTGACACATCTCAGCTTCACGTTTAGTTTCAGATTCAAAAGTAACATTTGTTTGCAAAGTTCTAAAGTGGAACGTTCTCATGCTGTCTAAACGCTGTTTTTAAAACATTGAAGGCTCGGAACTTTCGAAACGAGCAGGTAAGAAGTAATGGGAGCGATAGGAGATGTTTTTGTAAAGTGGGTCAAATAAAGAAAGCGGCGTTGTGTTCCGGAGCTCGGGAGTGGGTGTATCTATTTACATTACTATATTTACATTTGAGTCTAGTGAAATTGTTTAAGAGATGAATTATTTAATAAAAATTAGGGCTGTCAGTCGATTAAAATTTTTAATCTAATTAATTACATGATGCTTCGATTAATTAAACAAATTTGGCTGTGAAAATAGCCACACAATATTATTTAAAGCTATTTTCGTGTTAAATGAGAACGTATCAAGTAGAGTTTTATTATTGTAGCTTTAGAAATATTTTATTTGATTCAACATAAAATTTATTACACATATTTAGGCTACAACAGCCGAACATAATCTATAATTTGAGAAACGTCTCAGTATTTTTTGTTCATACAATGAAAGTCATTGGTAACCAAAACTTCAAAATACATTCTTTTATGTTCCACAAAAGAAAGTAAGTCATTCAGGTTTGAGTAAATGATGACAGAATTTAAATTTTTTTGGGTGAACTATCGCTTTAATGTTTTTATTATCATTATTATTATTATTATTATTTTAAATAAGAAACTAAATCTGCCAGCAGGTCTTCATGAGTCATTCATTCGAACGGCTGATTCGTTCAGGAATGAAGTAAACGGCTCTCTTATGAATAGGCTTTGAGTCATTGATTCACACGATTCGTTCAAAACGCGGATTCATTCAGAAACCAAACAACGCTGTGCTGCTCGGAGACGCGAAACAATTCTGCTATGGCTTTAAATGTAATATGTTCTCTGCAAAACTGAGCAAAAACATGATATTGTGTTTAAAATATAACAATATTAACTTCTTATTTACTGAACTATTGAATAAAATCGCATTTAAACTTGTGATATTCAGGACAGAAACGGCACTCGTCTGATATTGCTCTCCCTGCTCGGTGTGATATCAATTATCATATGATATAAATATGAGACAAAAACTCATACAGGGGCTTTTTTACTCCAATATCTTGCGTTTTAGAGCATAACTTTGTTTATGGAGTTGGTGCCCTGCATCATATTTGTCAACAGTCAACTGTATAAACTAAGATGACGTACAGATTTGGGAGGCGGGGCCAGTGCGTTAACTGCTTTGGAAAACATTGATCTGTTTGTTTGAGCATCAGCATCACTGGCTCAACCAGCGAATTGTTGCAGATGTTGGCTTGTTTCTGTTTCTCATCATGCAGCAGGTCGGCATCCTCCATTGAGAAAGAAGCTCTCCTGATGTTGCAGGGTGGGAATCCTAACATGATCAGGATCCTGGGTCTGTACAAGGGCCGTGTGGGCGAGGGCCGAGGGCTGCTGATGGAGTTCATGCCCAAGGGTTCGGTGGCCGATCTGCTGCAGACGCTGGCCGGGCCGCCACCGTGGCCTCTGACCTTCCGCATGGCGCACGAGATCAGCCTGGGCATGAACTTCCTCCATCATCTGACTCCTCCGCTCCTGCATCTGGACCTCAAGCCCAGCAACGTGCTGCTGGATGACAGCCTCAGAGCCAAGGCCAGTCCGCTTATATGTGACCCTGGACCACAAAAACAGTCTTAAGTGTCAATTTTTCAAAATGGAGATGTATACATCATCTGAAAGCGGAATAAATAATCTTTCCATTGATGTATGGTTTGTTAGGATAGGACAATATTTGGCCGAGATGCAACTATTTGAAAATCTGGAATCTGAGGGTGCAAACAAATCTAAATATTGAGAAAATCATCTTTAAAGTTGTTCAAATGAAGTTCTTAGCAATGCATATTACTAATCAAACATTAAGTTTTGATATATTTACGGTAGGAGATTTACAAAATATCTTCATGGAACATGATCTTTACTTAATATCCTAATGATTTTTGGCATAAAAGAGAAATGTGTAATTGTGACCCATACAATGTATTGTTGGCTATTGCTACAAATATCCCCCAGCGACTTAAGAAATAATAGTGCCCTATGAAGTGTTTTCTCAAATTCCGTTTTATTTTTCTTCACGTTATATTTTCCCTTTTCATTTTTCTGGATTCTGTTTGAATGGTTTAATTGAGTTTTAATAATCAAAAAAGGATGTCTAATCAGTTGAATGAATAAAACTTTATCAATTTAATAATTTATTACATTTTTAACAATAATAACACCCTATGAAATGTTTTATTTTCTCAAATTCAGTTTTATTTTTCCCGAAATTCTGTTTACCTTTCTCATTTTTTTCTGGATTGTGTTTTAATGTTTTTATATATATATATATATATATATATATATATATATATATATATATATATATATATATATATATGATCAGTTGAATTCATAGAACTTGAACAACTTATAATTTATTAATTTTCTAAACAAAAATAGTGCACTATGATTTTTGTTTTTTCCAAATGATGTGTTATTTCCCCTAAAATTCTCTTTTCCTTTTCTCTGGATTCTGTTTTAATGGTTTAAATTAATTTTAATGATCAAGAAATGATGTCTAATCAGTTGAATTAATAAAACCTTAACAATTTCATCATTTATTTACCTCATAAGAATCATAGGGCCCATATGAAATGTTTTATTGTTTTGTGAAGTTCTGAGTTGTCAGTTGTTTGTCAAATTTTCTGGATTCTGTGTTTTATGATTTAATATTAGAAAAGTTAATTCGGTAATCAAATCAGCTGTAACCATTTAAGTAATCCTTTAATTTGTAATTAAATCGTTTGCAGTCACTGCACAACAGAGATTTACGATTAAATTAAAACAATTTCTAATTGTGTGATATTCCTTTAAAAACTATTATTTTTATTATTACCACTACTACTTTGAGGAGTACATTCTACTACTATTCTACTACAACACAGTGTTATTAAATGAATTATTTCAGCTCTACACCACTTCTTTCAGTTGGATGGAAATGTAATTCAGGTCAAAATGTGGCATTTACATGAAGCTTTGTCATTTCAGACCCTTGTTTAAAAAAACACGTTTGTCACTTGACTCAACAAATGTAATATCTCTTTTAGAATTAAAATCTGTGTCCATATCAGCTGAAGCTGACAGATTCCCTGTAAGCGTGATTATTAGTCCCCTTTGAGCTACATTCACATTGTCTTTGAAAGCAGTGTGTGGAAGAAGCCCAACGCATCAGACTGTATTTAACCCTCTCTTTGTTTCTGTGTGTCCTGCAGCTCACAGATTTCGGTCTGTCCCGAGTGGCTCGAAGCGTTTCTAGATGCTCCGGACAGAAAGCCGAGGACGAGGGAGGAACGCTGAGCTACATGCCTCCTGAAGCGCTGCAGTCCGTCAACTACAAAGCCAACAAAGCCTCCGACGTCTACAGGTAACCAGAGGAGCATCGGAAACACTGAAGCACAGTTTCTTTAAACATGTTCTTAACCTCACCAGTGCTGCATTTATTTGATCAAACATACAGTGAACAGTGAAATATTATTACTATTTAAAATAGCTGTTTTTAGTGCTGTCGCGATTCATCGATTCTATTCGACTATTCGATTAAAAAAAATCCCTGACTTCATTTTGCTCGCGTCGACTAATCGGCAAAATCCCGGAAGTGCCGCATTTCACAGACGAGAATCCATAAAACACATTATTAGACAGTTTACCAAGGCTGCATGATATATTAAAACAACATAATTAAGCATAATTGTGAATTCACAAACGCTACGATTTAATTAAATAATTAAATGCGATGCCGTTCTAATACAGTATATGTGCTTTAATTATTTACATGCGTGTAGGTTAAGTACATGCGTCACACAGCGGCTCCGTTCACAGGAACTGTGATCATTTACACGTGTGGAGCGTCTCAAACTCCATCTCTGCATGTTGTTGTGAGTTTGGGTTTATTATAACGTTCATCTGGGAACGCAACATGCACCATTTCATCAGATTTGTAAGGCAAATCATTTATAATTCTACACAAACACAGGAGAATATATCGCGGTTTCAAACCCTCACTCTGAGTTTACACGTTTTGATGTCCACATATTCTTTTAATTACAGTGGCTATAGCATTTCTGTCCTAAAGAAATGACCACATATTAAAGATTAAGAGGACAGTTGAATGAAATGGTGCTTGGTCAATATTAAACAAGTATTAGATCGCACAGTAATGTGTAAAAACAATCATCAGGCCGCTGGCGCCCTCTGCAGGCCTTTGTTATAATGTGTACTGTACATTAGCTCTATTGTTTATAATACATTATGTATTTTAACAGTTTTGTTCAATAAAACCATATGATTTCTTGCATTTGATACTTTATTTGAACTAATTATTATTGCCTCATTGCTGTTATATATGTATTTTAAGTAATTTTAAAGGCTATTGTTCACTTACATCTATTTTTATTATTCACTCAACTTAAAAATTATTATAATTATAGGGCACTATGAAATCGGTTTTATTTCCAAATTCAGTTTTGTTCCATTTTCATTTTTCTATACTCCGTTAATGTTTAAATTAAAATTTATTAATCAAAAAGCCTGTCTAATTAATTGAGTTTTACAGTTTTATCTTTACCAAATTCTGTTTTCCATTATTTTCTGAATTCCATTTGAATGGTTCCAGTAAATTTGAATAATCAAAAGCATCTCCAATTAATTGATTTTATTTAGAGTATAATAGAGTTTTTATTATTTTATTTTTTTTCAGAAATACTGCATATTTACATTTTTCTCCTAAGTAAATTCTGGTAAATAACATTTCTGATAAATACTCCTTTAAAAAGTGTTTTTTGATTATAATGTTATTATTAGTAGACTAGAACACGTGGATATGTTGTCATTCTTACACTATAATACTGAACTTGCACTCTATGTTGCTTTTACTTTTGCTTTAAAAAAAGGATTTCACAGAAATTTGGATTTCATTTGGTTTAATAAAATATAGTTTAATAAAATATTCTTAAATAAAATTGTTGATTTTTTGTGGGAAATTAATCGTTTAGATTAATCGATTAATTAGTCGATAGATTAATTGGAATAAAAATAGTCGTTAGTGGCAGCCCTAGCTGTTTTTTGTATGTGTTAAACTGTAATGTATGTCTGTGATGCGCAGCTGTATTTTCAGCATCATTCCTCCAGTCTTCAGTGTCACATGATCTTCAGAAATCAGTATAATATGCTGATCTGCTGCTCAAGAAACATTTCTGATTATTATCAATGTTGAAAACAGTCGTGCTGCACAATATTTGTGTGGAAACTGATACATTTTATTTTTCAGGGTTCACAGATGAACAGAAAGTTCAGAAGAACAGCATTTATTTGAAATAGAATCTTTTCTAACATTATAAATGTCTTAACTGTCACTTTTGATCAATTTAATGTGTCCTTGATGAATAAAAGTATTAATTTCTTAAAAAAAAACTTTTAAAATGTTAGTGTAAGTCCTGTGTGATGTTGAAATGCCAGTAACTTCTCATTAATGAGTGAATGTGCAAAGATTTCAAAGGTTTGAATGTTACCGTATTACTACAATAATGCCCTTTTTTATGAATTTATTAATTCATTGAAATGTCAAATTATACAAGAACTACAGCAAACCAGTGTAACACAATAATATTTTTTATCAATATTTACAAGAAATTGTATTTGAATATATCACTATATCATACTATAATGTTATATTATATATATCATTGTCATTATTATTATATTTTATCATTATTATTATTATGAAATTTATAGGAACATAGCTTTTTGTCGATCCACTGGTTCACATTTAAAAATATGTAGCAAAAATAGCAGATGGGCTTTTTGAGAAAGCAAATTCGTTCTCTGCCAGCAGGAGGTGCTCTCGGAACTGCAGAAATATAGTGGTTTTCCCGGTAACCGCGGTGCACAAAGCTGACGTGCAGCGCTCAAGTTTATTCAGTGAAATCGTAGCCTTTTGAAGTTTAATCGTCATATTAATCCATATAGCAATTCTTGTCTTTCCGTCCCCAAAGATAATTTAGACTTTTTGTACCATTTAAGAGTTTGCGTGGCCTTAAATGTAAACAATTTAACTGAAGACGTTTTAAGGACCCGCGGAAACCCTAATAAAAACATAGTCCAGTGCAAACATTTCTGTCATGCATTTGGCAAAAAGCTTTTGTTGACTATGAATTTTACCTTTGAAATTTGAGGCAAGTGCAACTCTGGCGTCCCCGTTGTTTGTGAGCAGTGGTGTGATGGCGATTTAAATAAAATACAGATTTCCAAACATATGGGTATCCCCTTGAACTTGGTAAAAAGATAATCTGTTTACCATCTTGACTTGAAAATACTGTTTTCATGGTCAGTTGTTCATTTATTATTTGCTAATGTTTATGAATGTTTACATTAGAGTGCACGTCTTACTACGCTGAAATTAATAGAGAAGCGGCTGGAAACTAGCGACCTCTCCTGGTCGGAGATAGTATTAACATCATAAACTGAAAGCAATCTTTACGTGACTTGCTTTTCAAATGGTTTAAAATGAATCATCGAAGTCTAATATGATCCAGCGGGCCATACTTAAAGACACTGCGGGCCGTATACGGTTGCCCGTATAGTTGCCCATCCCTGGTGTAGGCTATATACTGTATTCTATAAACAGTACCAGTCAAAAGTTTGGACACAAGAATGAGAAGTGTGTCCAAACTTTTGACTATACTGTACTATAATATAGCCTACACATAAAGAATATCGGCCGATATATCAGGTTTTTTTACTCCCTAATATCGGTATCGGCATCACTCCCCAAAAAACCCATATCGGTCGGGCTCTAATCAAAACTACATGTTTTTAATACAAATATATTAAATTTACTTGAATAAACTTTTACTTTGAGATGAAAAAAAAAGATCAACAGTGTGAATCTGCAGTGCTTCATCAAAAGCTGTCAGACATGGACTTCTCTTTCAAACTCTCTTACCTTTTTCAAATTAAGATTAGTTGGTGTTTTGGGCTGTTGTTCATTTGATATAGTTTATTTGTCATGTCAGCTATGTCGTTTATAATGACTTTGTGCATGCATATTCACATTTACTCACAAAATTCAGTCCAAAAATAGGCTAAGAGGCTCAATGTATCTTACAGAAGCAATCTGAGACAAATCTAGCTAATGGAGATATATATATATATATATATATATATATATAAAAACATAATTTGAAGTGTGTAGCCACAGTTCACTTCTGGGTCAAAAATGACCCGAAAGTGTTAAAATTTGATTTAAATGAATATACCTCTTAAAAATAATATTGCGATGTTATTTTCTTATGATTTTTTTTTTTTCATTTTTATTTTATGTACTACTTCAAAACTGGCTTGAATGCAAAAGTTGTTACATTTTAGTTTAAATGGTTATATCACTTAAAAATATATATTTGTAAAAATCTGATTTTTTTTTTTAAACGATGTGTATTTCAATAGTCTTAATTCTTAATAGTCAACATTTTTTCTGTACTGAAAACAGTATTTTTTTAAAGAAAATTTTATGTACTGCTTTAAAACTGATCCGAGTGCAAAAGGTGTAACAATTTAGATTAAATGGTTAAATATATTAAAAAAGTATTTTAAAAAAATCTGAAAATAAATAAATTATCGTTTTAATCCTTATGCAAAGATTTTTTCCTGTATTAAAAATGCAGATTTTTTTATGTACCGTTTCTGAGCCGATCAGACGCATGTACTCGTTCGTGACTGAGATGAAAATGTGATAATCAGTGTTTTGTGAATGGTCTGCTCTGCAGTTTCGGCGTCCTGCTGTGGTCCATGGTCACCGGGAGAGCGCCGTACAGCGGTAAGCGTTCTTCAGCTGCTCTCTGGTTCCCGTCCGCACCGGTGTCTCACTCGTGTCTGTCCCGCAGACGCTGGGTCCAGTCTGGTGCGCTTCCGGATCCCTCAGGGGGACAGACCTGACCTGACGTGCATAGACCGCCGCCAGACTGAGGGTCTGGATGATATGGTGAAGCTCATGACTGAGTGCTGGCATCAGGACCCCGACAGCAGACCGTCGTTCCTCTGTGAGACTCGAACCCGATCCCTTCATCATGAGAATCAGCCTCGACGTCTTCTCACCGCACTGTCTCCTGTTTTCAGGTTGTGTTAATGAGACGGAGAAGATCTTTAGTATGCACAAGCACGGACTCAATGAAGCCGTCTATGGTGTTCTGAAGCTGCTGGTACAGTTGATTTTTTTGTTGTATTCACCATTTCCGTCAAATGATGGAACTAAAATTGGTTGCGAATGGCGTAAATGCTTAAATATATCCAAACGCCAGTTTGCAAGAAAAAGAAAATTCACTGAACCCTTATTTGTATCCTCAGTTAACCCTATCTTTTCTCACACGCAGGATAATGATGATGATGATGATGTCTGTTCCGGTTTGAGATCAATCCAGATCAGCCACAAACCACTCAATGGTATTAAATCTTGACTAAATACAGATATATATATATTATATATATTTATATATATATATATATATATATATAAAATCCAATAACAAAACATAACACAAACTAATAATATTATCTCAGTGGTACTAACACAACACAGTTTTGTTCTGTTTCCATAAAGGAAGCATGTTAAATGTACAGAAATCCCTTTATGAATTGGTATTATTTTAATGGTTTGAATCTAAATCAACCCATGTTATTCTGAAGAACAGACGTGTTTATCATCTGGAACTGCTTTCCTGTTTGTTTTGGCATCATCATCAATCCCTCTTATTTTACAATCACCATGCAATCGATTCCTGATGGATAAAATCAAGTCCTGCTCTACTGTATTAATGAACATTATGGACGTTGAATGTGTTATGAAGCTGTTTAGTCTCTTTGATCATCTTTGTGTTTCAGAAGCTGGTGCTCAGGGCTCGTCCTGCGTCACTGGACCGCCTCCTAAACAGGTATCTCATGCAGCTTCTGTGGAAAACTAATTATACTTAAACTTGATTACAATTCAAATCTTAACACTCTTAACTAATTAAAATAAATTAGCATGATTGATTTAATAAACATTACATTGATTTATTAAAGCAATAAGCCCCGTGAAGCCGTGGTTTACAGTGAATTTATAACAGCTAAGGTTGTTAGGCACGACGTGAAGCGGAGGTTACTGCTTTTATAAAACGGTTACTCCATATACGTAGTAAGGTTTCACAAAATAAAACAGAGCAAATAAAGTGTAATGATATTAATAAACACAGTGTTCTTCCACCAAACAATGTAGCTGCTCAGAAACAGTTGTGGTTGCTACAAAGTGGTTGCCGAGCAACACAGAAGTAAACAAAGGTGTGTGTTACTTTGTAGCGTCATTTACAACAGCTTCGAACGCGGCTCAGCCAATCAGAATCAAGCACCGGAACAATGCAGATTTTTTTATGTACCGTTTCTGAGCCGATCAGACGCATGTACTCGTTCGTGACTGAGATGAAAATGTGATAATCAGTGTTTTGTGAATGGTCTGCTCTGCAGTTTCGGCGTCCTGCTGTGGTCCATGGTCACCGGGAGAGCGCCGTACAGCGGTAAGCGTTCTTCAGCTGCTCTCTGGTTCCCGTCCGCACCGGTGTCTCACTCGTGTCTGTCCCGCAGACGCTGGGTCCAGTCTGGTGCGCTTCCGGATCCCTCAGGGGGACAGACCTGACCTGACGTGCATAGACCGCCGCCAGACTGAGGGTCTGGATGATATGGTGAAGCTCATGACTGAGTGCTGGCATCAGGACCCCGACAGCAGACCGTCGTTCCTCTGTGAGACTCGAACCCGATCCCTTCATCATGAGAATCAGCCTCGACGTCTTCTCACCGCACTGTCTCCTGTTTTCAGGTTGTGTTAATGAGACGGAGAAGATCTTTAGTATGCACAAGCACGGACTCAATGAAGCCGTCTATGGTGTTCTGAAGCTGCTGGTACAGTTGATTTTTTTGTTGTATTCACCATTTCCGTCAAATGATGGAACTAAAATTGGTTGCGAATGGCGTAAATGCTTAAATATATCCAAACGCCAGTTTGCAAGAAAAAGAAAATTCACTGAACCCTTATTTGTATCCTCAGTTAACCCTATCTTTTCTCACACGCAGGATAATGATGATGATGATGATGTCTGTTCCGGTTTGAGATCAATCCAGATCAGCCACAAACCACTCAATGGTATTAAATCTTGACTAAATACAGATATATATATATTATATATATTTATATATATATATATATATATATATAAAATCCAATAACAAAACATAACACAAACTAATAATATTATCTCAGTGGTACTAACACAACACAGTTTTGTTCTGTTTCCATAAAGGAAGCATGTTAAATGTACAGAAATCCCTTTATGAATTGGTATTATTTTAATGGTTTGAATCTAAATCAACCCATGTTATTCTGAAGAACAGACGTGTTTATCATCTGGAACTGCTTTCCTGTTTGTTTTGGCATCATCATCAATCCCTCTTATTTTACAATCACCATGCAATCGATTCCTGATGGATAAAATCAAGTCCTGCTCTACTGTATTAATGAACATTATGGACGTTGAATGTGTTATGAAGCTGTTTAGTCTCTTTGATCATCTTTGTGTTTCAGAAGCTGGTGCTCAGGGCTCGTCCTGCGTCACTGGACCGCCTCCTAAACAGGTATCTCATGCAGCTTCTGTGGAAAACTAATTATACTTAAACTTGATTACAATTCAAATCTTAACACTCTTAACTAATTAAAATAAATTAGCATGATTGATTTAATAAACATTACATTGATTTATTAAAGCAATAAGCCCCGTGAAGCCGTGGTTTACAGTGAATTTATAACAGCTAAGGTTGTTAGGCACGACGTGAAGCGGAGGTTACTGCTTTTATAAAACGGTTACTCCATATACGTAGTAAGGTTTCACAAAATAAAACAGAGCAAATAAAGTGTAATGATATTAATAAACACAGTGTTCTTCCACCAAACAATGTAGCTGCTCAGAAACAGTTGTGGTTGCTACAAAGTGGTTGCCGAGCAACACAGAAGTAAACAAAGGTGTGTGTTACTTTGTAGCGTCATTTACAACAGCTTCGAACGCGGCTCAGCCAATCAGAATCAAGCACCGGAACTCTCCGGTTTATAATTACATTTTAAATAAATTGTGAAAAATTGTATTTCTCTTACTAATTGTGCTCATAAAGCGCAACTGTCAGCTCATACTTTTTACAAAGACCTTCGTAGTATATAAACCAGAACATCACAGTGTGATTCAGAGCGGTTTAATTATTCATATTATTACATTTTCGGTTTACTTGTTAATTGTTTTTAAAGGTCTTGACTATAAATGGATATAAAAATGTATTTTAAAAATATTCTAGTTCTAATCTATTCTAATTCTATTATTTAAAAAGTACTTTCCCCTTTTAGACTTGCATTCTATTCATTTACTAACTGCATAGCAACACCTTAGCAACCACCCTTGGTACCCTAGCAATCGCATAGCAACAACCCTGGGTACCCTAGCAACTGCATAGCAACACCGTAGCAACCAACTGGTGTACCCTAGCAACCGCATAGCAACACCTTAGCAACCGCCCTGGGTACCCTAGCAACCGCACAGCAACAGCCCTGGGTACTCTAGCAACCGCATTGCAACACCATAGCAACCACCCCGGGTACCCTAGCAACCGCATAGCAACAACCCCGAGTACCATAGCAACCGCATAGCAACACCGTAGCAACCAACTGGTGTACCCTAGCAACCGCATAGCAACACCTTAGCAACCACCCTGGGTACCCTAGCAACCGCACAGCAACAGCCCTGGGTACCCTAGCAACCGCATTGCAACACCCTAGCAACCACCCCGGTTACCCTAGCAACTGCATAGCAACACCCTAGCAACCGACCCAGGTACCTTAGCAACCGTATAGCTAAACCCTAGCCAACCGCCTTAGCAACCACCCCAAGTACCCTAGCAAGCGCATAGTAACACCCTATCATCTCTGACAGACTGCATTGCCTTCAAAACATTTCAACTTTAAGCTTTTAAAACAACGTTAAACTTCAAACTATTTCAGACTGAAAACCATCAAACTTAAAACTTTTTTAAACTTCTTAAACTTTTCAAACTTTTTCAAACTGTCTGGTCCGGCTTTCTCAAGCCAACTTAAAGTTTGTCTTGACGAACTATTTGATCTAGTTATTAATATTATTACATTTTCGGTTTACTTGTTACTTGTTTTTAAAGGTCTTGACTATAAATGTATATAAAAATGTATTTTAAAATCTCTAATTCTAATCTATTCTTTAAAAAATAAACGTTGCCCTTTTAGACCTGCACTCTATTCATTTACGAACTGCTTGTGGTCTTAAAAAACTAACACTAGCTTCTCTAATCTTTTTGTATTCTGTCTATTTGTTTTCTTTTTATCTATTATATAATAAAAAAACCTTGCTACGTGTGCAGCGTTAAGCTAACTGAGACTTGTTCTAGCACTTGTGTATCATTGCTCTTTTGTTGAGTTTGATTGCTTCTGTTGTCCTCATTTGTAAGTTGCTTTGGATAAAAGCATCTGCTAAATGACTAAATGTATCCACCTGCCAATATATCGTCTGAGGATGTGTATTAACTAATATTTTGTCTTGTAGGAAACAGCTGTCAGTAACACAAAACCCACAAAGACAGGTAATCTGAGCAGCAGAGATGCATTAGGATGATTTCGATGCTTTGTTTGGTGCTGAACGCATCTGTGTGTTGTTGTTTCTCACAGAATCATCTCCTCGTCCTGCTCCGCTGGTGACGCCTGTCAGAAAAGCACAGGTCTGAAACAAACACTCAAACACATACGGCTCATGTATCACTGACCTCTTCTGTCCTAACACACGCTGTGTGCTTGTGTTTCCTCTCACAGCGGCAAACTTCAACACCAGGTCAGTTTTACACGGCTTCATCTCACTCTGAATGTAGCTGACACATTTAATGATAAACGCTAACTTGTAAGCGTATATAAATAATGTATACATCTTAATTAATTCAAATAATGCAATAGAAAAATGCACCTGTCTTCTGATCTGTACACTATTAACATGGAGGAAAACCAAGACTGAAGTAGCACCTCAGCGATTCTTTATTTGCAATCCTTTCTTGATTCGTACATACTTTGATGAATTATTCATCTCAGTTCAATTGTGAAGAACACAAATAAATAACCGTCTTTGTTGATCATCATGCACCTGCAGAACAAATAATTACGTAAGCTTGTTTCTGCTACGGAATAAAAAATAAAAAAAGGTAATTGCAATTTTTTTAATCTTGCAATTTGGACTTTTTTCTTGTAATTTTAAGAAAATGTCAGAACTGCGGGATATAAACTCCTGATTGCAAGAAGAAAAGTCAGAATTTTGAGATTTTATATATATATATATATATATTAGTGCTGTCAAACGATTAACCGCAGCCAAAATAAAAGTTTTTCTGTACATAATATATGTATGTGTACTGTGTATATTTATTAAGTATATATAAATAAACACACATGCATGCATATATTTAAGAAAAATATGTTACGTTTATATATTAAATACATTTATATATTATATACATGTAAATACTAACGTGTAAATGTTAAAATGTAAATATTTTTAAAATATATGCTGTATGTGTGTGTATTTATATATACATAATAAATATACATGATAAACACACATGTATTATATAAACAAAAACTTTTATTTTGGGTGTTTAATCGCGATTAATTGTTTGACAGCACTAATATATATATATGTATGTATATATATATACAGGTGCAACTCAATAAATTAGAATGTCGTGGAAAAGTTAATTTAACTCAAATTGTGAAACTATATTAAAAACTGTTTTAAATAAATTCAATGCACACAGACTGAAGTAGTTTAAGTCTTTGGTTCTTTTAATTGTGATGATTTTGGCTCACATTTAACAAAAACCTACCAATTCACTATCTTAACAAATTAGAATATGGTGACATGCCAATCAGCTAATCAACTCAAAACACCTGCAAAGGTTTCCTGAGCCTTCAAAATGGTCTCTCAGTTTGGTTCACTCAGTTTGGTTCACTAGGCTGGGGGGAAGTCGTGGCCTAATGGTTAGCCATTAACCAACTCAAGCTTTACCTATAGGTTTTGCATACAGAAAATCTATTTTTAAGACCACTATTTTTTTGCATTGTGACATTTTCAAGACCGTTAGGTTTATTTAAACATGATCCAATTGCCAGTAGATACCGCAATGAATGATAATGAATAAATAAATAAATGTAAAAATAGGTTTCATAACTTTAATGTGAAAAATATTTACATTTTGAAATACACGTCATGATAGTGATTAATGTACTGAATTTTATTCATACTGATTTTAAGGGTAAGGTGTACTTTATTGTCCCTGTCGAATATCATCTCCTCAGTTTTCTTCACATTCACAATTAGGTGGTGCGCATCACACTCTATAAACTGACTGATTTCAGAGTGGTAAGACAAAATGTCTTGATCTTTATATAATAAGTTAAGGATAGCGGTGCCATCACTAAATTTCACAGTGTGATTATTATTATTTTTGTGTATAATGTGAAGAGAACTGGGGAGCGTACACACCCTTGAGGTACTCCTGTACTAATGCATTGTAAGTCAGAGATCATCTTATTGACCTTAACCTGTTGGGTTCTGCCCGTTATGAAAGAAAAAAAAAACATCCATGTGTTTCAATTTCTCCAATAATAAATACAGTTGCACAGTGTTAAAAGTGGAGCTAAAATCAATAAAAAGACGCGCATATGCCTTTGAGTCCTCAAGATAATACTCCCTACTGCATCTTCCGCACTCCTGCCCTATTTATAAGCAAGCTGCCATGGATCTAGTTTTGAGGATACTTCACTTTTCAATATAGACTCAATGTATTTCTCAAAGCATTGCATTACAATTGAAGTTAGTGCTACGGGTCTAAAATCATTGTTCTCAGAAGGATGGGGCTTTTTTTGGGATTGGAGTAATCACTGATCTTTTCCAGAGTGCAGGGACTCTATGCGAGTCCAATGAATGCTGAAAAAGCGTACAGGGTTTCAAAAGTCGTGCAGAAATCTAATCAGGCCCTGTAGATTTATTAGCTGTTGGAACCATGATTGCACCTTAGAACTGTCTACCTCTAATCTAGTGCCCATATCTTCTGTCAGAGAACCTATAACAGATCCACATCTCTCAGAGTAATCATAGAAGTCATTCAGTTCATTAGCTTTCTGTAAATCATCAGTTGTATCTATATGTGGTCTCCTTGAATCCATATTAGTAACAGCCTTCATTGTATTCCATAATTTTTTAGAATTTGAAGTTAAAAACGGATGTTCAATAATATAATTTTGTCGTCCCCTTGCTTCCTTTAGTTGATAATCAAGCTCTTTTTGTATAATTTTCAGCCCCGCATAATCTTTGTTCTTGAATGCAACCTTTTTCCTGTTAATACAATTCTTAAGTTCTTTAGTTATATGGTAACATTCTTTTTAGTGGGTACATTGTCCACACGTTATTGTCTCTGTCGTTGTATCAATGTCCACATCAGTAAAAACATCCCAGTCTGTGCAAAGAAAACATCCTTTAAGTCTTTCTATGGCATCATCCGACCATACCGTTATTTCCTTCACATATGCTTTACTACGTTTAAGCATAGTCTTATAGATGAGATTTTACGTCAAGTGATGGAGAGAGCAAAACAAGTCCAATGTTAAGTTCAATAAGGACAAGCTGTAGTACAAGGTTCACACTGTCAAGTATATGGGACATCTTATCACCTCAGAAGGGGTAAAACCTGATGGAGACAAAGTTGAAGCAATTGTTAAAATGCCACCACCAGAGAATAAGAAGGCGCTTCAGAGATTTCTGGGAATGACCAGGTATTTATCCCAGTATATCCAAAATGAAGCAACATTAACGGCTCCCTTAAGGTATTTGTTGAGAGAAGAAGCTGACTGGCAGTGGAGCCCTGACCATGATAAGGCTTTAGAAAATCTCAAGGTAGCCTTAACTCAAGCACCAGTATTTAAGTATTATGACCCAGCCAAACCATTGGTTATTCAAGCTGATGCATCAAAGGATGGATTATGAGCTGTGCTTATGCAAGATGGGCATCCCTTGTATTACAGTTCGTGGGCATTGACAGACATTGAGAAAAATTATGCACAAATTGAAAAAGAGATGCTTGCCATTCTGTTTGCTGTCAAGTATTTTCTTCAGTATGTGTATGGTTAAGGAGTAAAGTGCAGTCTGATCACAAACCACTGGAGGCTATTTTTCGAAAAAATAAATAATAATAAAGCACCAGCAAGATTGCAACGAATGCTTCTTCGAGTACAAGGCTATGATCTGAGGAGGTAATTGCATGATGATTGCAGACACATTGTCATGAGCAACAGTGAGAAAACAAGAGGTTGAGGATAACGGAAACCTGTTTCAGGAAAAAGTGGTGTATTCACTAGAAGCCACTAATTCTCTAAGTTCAGAAATGCTGAAACAACTAAAAGAGTTGAGTCAAATGGATGAGGTCCTGCGAGCCATAAAAGAGGCTCATGTGAGTGGCTGGGGCAAGCAATGCAGCAAGTTAAAGGAAAAATTGCACAAATTCTGGTGAGTGCGACCTAACATCAGGATGCAGAATGATGTGCAAATGATGGGAGATAGGATCATCATTCCAGAGAAATTGAAGTCTGCTGTGTTACAGAAGTTACACATTGGACATCAAGGTGTACAACGGACTAAAGCACAAGCAAGACAAGTTGTTTTTTGGCCTGGTATGGCGAAGGATACTGAGAGCATGGTGAGCAAATGTAGCACATGTCAGAAGTTCCAACTTCAAAATCAAAGAGACCTTTTCAATCACATGACATCCCTGATGTTCCTTGGTTAAAGCTTGGAGCAGACATCTTTGAATTGCAAGGTCAGTCTTTTCTGCTGTTAGTTGACTATATGACTAAATATCCAGAAGTGTTAAATTTGAGAGATAAATCTACTCATTCAGTCATACAAGTTATGAAAGCAACATTTGCAAAATATGGCATACCAAAAGAAATTGCGAGTGATCATGTACAATTTGCAAGTCAAGAAATTAGAAAGTTTGCTAATATGTGGAGAATTAAGCTTGTGTTTTCCAGTCCAGGATATCCACAATCAAATGGACTTGCTGAGTGAACAGTACAAACTGTGAAACATGTTCTGAAAATGGCCCTGTGTTCTGGAGAGGATATACATCTGGCTTTGTTGTCACTACTGAATTCACCAGTTACAGGATTAAGTATATCTCCAGCACAAATGTTGATGGGACGAATTCTTTGCAGTATATACTGTACCGTGTTCCACCAAGATGTTGCGACAAAGATCTTTTGTGCAGGAGCACAGTAGATTGTTGGATCTACGCTCGTCAAAAGAGGTACTATGATTTCAAATCTAGAAGTTTGCCAGGACTCGGAGTTGGTGACACTGTACATATGAGAACGCAAGAAGGATGGTAACCAGCAACCGTACTCTCTAATGGCGCTTTTCCACTGCGTGGTACGGCTCGGCTCGGTTTGTGTTTCCACTGCAGTTTAGTATCGCTTTAGAGGGGGCAGGATTATTCACATGTTGTTATAGTTGCGCCGCCTCTACTACCACGACTCCTGAAAAACGTTTTCATTCCGCGTCGCCCCATCAAGCTCTCGCTGGATCCGCTCCTCTGCTATCAACGAGAGGAACGTCTGTACTTCCTCAACAGACAACAAAACAGCCACTTTTTGGTTGTTAAAAAAATGGTTCAAAATGGTTGCGTTCGATCCTTCGCTGGCTGTGCTGATTTAAATCTAGTGGTTCTTTTGTGTCGCAAGTCCAGTGACGCAGGTAGTGACGATTCTCTCCGGCCAATCCGTGATCAGCAGAGTTTACACGTCATGTTTTGGTAATGGTACGGTTCACCTGG